ACCAGGACGGTCGCACCGGGGGTACGGATACAGAAGGAGAAGGTACGTGTGGTGGGGAGCGTTCGGCTCGTAACCAAGAGGTCCCGAGTTCGAATCCTGCCGTGCCGCCGATCTTACGATCTTGCACTTTACGCGAATGTCCTCACTTAACTCGGGAGAAAATGAGTATGTCTGTTGTCTGTTCATGCGTTTGTCTGTGTTGGTGGCGACATAAAAGTAAGTTTGCAAGAGCATTCCGGGCTCGGAACCAAGAGGTCCCGAGTTCGAATCCTGCCATGCCACCGATTTTGTACTCTCAGGAAAGGCACTTAACGTTAATTTCCTCACTTCACTCGGATGAAAATGAGTATGAAAATGAGGTCCCGAGTTCGAATCCTGCCATGACACCGACTTTGCGTTCTTAGGAAATTACGCGAATTTCCTCACTTAACTCGGGTGAAAATGAGTATGTATATGTTGTCCGTTCATGCGTTTGTATCTGCGTTGGTGGCGGCATAAAAGTAAGTTGGAAAAACTTGAGTGTGCCGTCGCCATGTCTTGTAATATAGATGTTGGAATAAATAAGAAAAAAAGTACGTCAGGATAGGTGCGACAGTTTGGGAATTTTACAAATTTTGAACCTGTGTGGTTGCTTGGCGACATGACCTGATTCTGACATCGGCAAACGAAGGGCAAGACTGTAGGTGGGGTAGTGTGGCGTAGAGGCAGAGTACTCGACTCGGAACCCTAAGGTCCCGGGTTCGAGTCCTGACATGTCACCGATCTTATGCCCTTGGGAAAGGCACTTTACACGACTTTCCTCTCTTAACTCAATAGAAAATGAGTATTGTCCTGTCCTGTATTCGTCCTCCGCGTTGGTGGCGGCATAAAATAAGTTGATATAACTTGAGGGTGCTGTTACCATGTCTAGTAATGAAATGTTGGAATAAGAAAAAAACGGTGCTACTTCAATACACCGTTAGTAAGTGCCTTCCTCTTCTGTTAAAATTATTAATATGTTATCTCTCCATTTCTCCAATCACTCTCGACACACGTGTTTTACATGTGCAATTTGATCCAATCTTAATGAATTACATCTATTCCCTGTTGGGTTCTTAATGTAGGTTGAATAGGCGAGGTATTAAATTATTTCAGTGTAATTTTTCTTCAGTTTCCCCTGGAGATTAAAGAATTGAATGCTGGCCTAAGCTTAGATCTGTATTGAAATATTTTGTAGTGCTATTTGTAAGAGTGTTCAATACATAAGTTTTAAAGTGTTATAAGTTGTTGTTTTTTTTGTGTGTGAATTGATGAATTGACACACAATATTAGTGCGTTAGTATTTCTCTATAAATATTTTTGTAGGCAGTTTTTTGTCTTACAACAATATGGAAGCTATGGTCTTTTTAAAGACATCCAATGTGATTTCAGGGCAGCAGCACTTGAAATATTCTGAATAAGGCAATCTTTGTGATATTGACACATACTGCTTCACATTTTGAGTCAGCATTTCATACTTTGGGCTTTTAGAACTGCAGAAACAAGCTCTAATATCAGTCCTTTATTTTCTGGGCGTTACCCTAAAAATCAACCATGGCCCTTCCAGTAACCATTTTCCGTCAGAATTTTGGGTATATTTGGTCCATGAGGGTCAGTATACACTGGGGTAGTGTGGTTTCAACTCAGTGTGTAGATAAGTGACTAGAATATTGGCTTTGAAAAAATCTGGTTTCCAGACTCTAAAAACTGCACTGGACGCCTTTAATGTACTACTGAGTCCACGGACTTTCTTTTATTTGTCTCTCTTATAAACCGTGAAGTGCACGGTACTTAGCATGTCAAGTAGTAGCCAATAGACGACGCCACTTTCAATAACACAGGCTGTCCTTTAAAACCTATGCACTAATGAACACAGTTTGGGCCATTATAGGATGTGTGAGTTTTGTTTACGTTGTTTGTTTATATTCGCTGGTTGCTAAGGAAGAAATGCATAAATATATATGAATATTTGTGGGAGTTTTTTGATGAAAGTTTCTTGTAACCAAATACGTCAATACCTGCGTTCAAATATCCCGATCGCTAAATCAAAGAAAGTGAGAACACAGTTATTTTAAGTGTCGACAAAACCAGGTAAAATAAAGTTATTGGTTCCCATAGTCATAATGTGATTGTAGAGAGGTCTTAGCTTGTAGGGCTTCTGTTGTGACGATGTCTACATTTTAGCCAGCTTAGGCCACAACAATTTAATTTGTTGGTTCTCTGATTTTGGCAGAAAAAATATGTAGCGAGAGGGCGAAAAAAAATGGTGTAGACATCTTATTTTAGCCTCAAATGCTACGATAGGAGCCATGAAGTTAACACAAAAGGCTGGGTTACTATTCAAACAATGAATTTCAAAATTTTAATCAAACTACTCCATTGATAGATGAAAAACCTGCAACAACTAGGAAGAAAAGGACTTTCCTCAACTGTTGGGAGCAAAATATGAGCATTTTCGAGTTGATTCAGAGCCAGAATCTTTTTTTTTGGAAATCAGGAAAAAAATGAAGAGGAGAATTCGAGAACCAACAAATTGAATTGGTGTGGCCTTAGTATATATAATGTTATTGCTTGAAGAGGGAACAAAGTATGAACGTGTTCAGTGAATTAAACAAGCCATTGTCAGCGTGGGAGTGTGGTAATAGGTTTGCGTCATGTAAAGATTTCTGTTAAATTGCTGTGGACGTTATTTAATCTATTTTGTTGCTAGGTTGACCGTCAACCACCCTAGTAACGGATTGCGTAATAATATAATCATAGATTGATTAATAACAAAGCTCTGGAATTCCCTCCCTGACAAGTGTTTCCCACCAACCTACAATCTACAGGCTTTCAAATCAAACGTTAACCGCCATCTCTTGACATAGCCATGTTTCTCTCATCTTTCTAGTTCAATGCCGAGAAGTGGTCGTATATAGGCTTTGCATTGAACCACTCCGTTAAAAAAAAAAACAAGCTTACGAACATGAATACATGTACCTAAGGCCACAGCAAGTCATTTTTATAGATGACATCAGCGCGTGCGTTAATTTTCACCTGATTTTGGAAAAAAAAAAATTGCCCTCTGACAGTGGTTAACATGCCGAAAATGGGCAAAGACGTCTGTTGCCATGCCGGAATGTGGATGGCAGATAAATATGAAGAGAGGAGACAAGAGAAGGCTCTGATTTAATGTTTTGTCTTTTACTTTGATGTAGTGACTTATTTAATCTCTTTTCCATGTGATGTCCCCACTGAATCAAAAGCATTTTGAATTATTGAAAACTGTTGTTTCAGTGAGAAACGGATGTTGTAATAGTTGGCAGTAAACTTAGCACAATATAGGCATCATTTCTTGTTTAACAAGGTTTAAAATGTTAAACTTCGAAAATATAGGAATCTTGTCTTTTTGGCCCGCCTTTTTTACGCCCTATCGCATTAGATTTGGAGTCGGTAGAGAATGTCATCCATAGAATTTATTTGCTGTAGCCTAAGCCTCAACGGCAAGATAACCAGAACCTTGCCCCAAGCGCCACCTTCCGACACTCTGATGAACGACATCCAACGACCTATCGCATTAGATTTGGAGTCTGTAGAGGATGTCATCCATAGAATTTATTTACTTTGGCCTAAACCTCCTTGGCAAGACAACCCAAGCCTGGCCTCCAGCGCCACCTTGCGACATTTTGATGAACGACATCCAGTGCCCTATCGCATTAGATTTAGAGTCCGTAGGGGATGTTATCCATAGAAATTTTTTGCTGTGGCCTAAATTTCCTTGGCAAGACCTAGCCTCCAACGCCACCTTGCGACATTTTGCTGAACGACAGCAACGCCAACAGGGCAAAGGTCGACAAATATTGGCTCAAGGGGATTAAAGTGCGGACCAAAGTCAGTGTTGTTAGAGATCACCTGTCGATGGGAAACTTACCAACAGGTGCACAGGTAATCCTGAACAAACAGGTAACAACGGACAACTCAAACACGTAATACGATATCTCGGATTAGGCCACACCGTCTTAATTTTATGGTTGACATCCTCTGCAGACCCCCAAACTTGTGCGCGCGGGCGAATTAAAAAAAAATTCCGACAAAAAATAAGAATGCTACTGAACCACAGGAATACAAAGCTGGTATTGTGAATTTACGGCAGTACATAGCTACGTATACGACAAGCCGGCACATGCTGGCTTTTTACGGAATTTATGAATCGGCACTGTACGTATGTACTGAGTTCTTGAGTCGTGGAGCTTCGGTAGCCTGGGTGCCCGGCTCCGTATTGTCGCTAACTACCATGGACTACCCAGGCCTAGAGCCAGGCCAGAGCCTCGGTGGACGTGATCTTTTTTTTTTTTTTGAGAACAGGCGAAAATCAATGCGCGTTGATGTCATCCATAAAACTAAGATATTGTGGCCTAACAGCGATACATGCCGTATGATTGACGACGCCCAATTGTTGCACAGTGACAATGATTACTCTCGATCCCTATCTTCAAAAACGCTCAAGACGCTTAACCCTTAAGCATTTTTAAAAGACAATAAGATTAAGAATCTTAAATGTGTAAGTCTCCAATTACTTGCGAATCTGGAGGTTTCAGTTACCATAATCTACATTTAAGTCGGTAATCTTGAACAGCCACAAGTTCTTAAAATCCTGCCTCTTTTCATATCTCTCGGATTACGAATCAGAAGCGTGCCGTTAACAAGGAGAACGCAAATCCTGGAACAAAAGTGAAGCTTTTCTGATGCTACAGACGGCATCTTGGCCATTTTAACCACTGTGTAACCCTATGGTTAGTTGTAGTCATGGACACCACGCATCAACCCCGGCAAACATGGTCTAATTAATACCGGCAAGTCTTTTGCGGCTGTCGCATTCATTTTGTGTACTGTCGGCGAGCCCGAGACAAATGAGGTTATAATGAGATGGCAGCGATACGGTATCGTAGTACATACCGGGGTGATCGCTTGTGTTAGGGCACCTAGGAGGTGAACACAACGGCGCAGCACAAAAACCTCTCCCGTACGGGTCAAAAGCACAAGACCATCAGGGCACGCTGACAATGGTTCTCACAGCAGGGCGATAGACGGTACACTCTTGTAGCAAGATTCTATCAATCAACCGTTGGAAACTTGCAACATGTTTCACTTAGACGAGGCGTACTACTACAAACACTACAAGGAAGAGAGAGCCGGGCAATTCTTGGTCTTAGGCAAGGCGCTCAAGCGGACAGATCTCGACGAATTCTTCAAGAAGAAGGAAACTGCAGCCAGTAAATCTACAAGGAGCAAGACAAGACTTCCGTCTATCAGATCGTCTCAACAAGAAGAGACAGCGGAAGAAGATGAAGACGTTATTGAGGACTTGTTGACGGGGAGTTGGAAGAAGGAGAGTTTGACCAAGCGGTTTCGGCGGCGTAGAGCCGTACAGAGGAAAAGCCGTGGTGTGGAATCACTAAACCAGATGTTCGTTACCCACACGGGCCTTCTGATACGGGTATATACTTGTACAATCTTATCTGCATATCATATATGTGTTTTTGACGAAATATATTCTGACGAAACTTGAGGTAGTGGATGCTACCTGAAACGTCTGACCGTTTCCAAAATTATATCTAGTTGCTTCAGTAACTGTTTTTTTCTTTGGCGTATCTATTTGCATATCATATATAGAATTATATCTAGTTGCTTCAGTAACTGTTTTTTTTTTGGCGTATCTATTTGTATATCATATATGTGCCCATACTTGTAAACCTGCTATTCTGACAACTCTTCTAGTGTCACTGACGAAAGGTAGTGGATGCTACTACCTGAAATGTTTGACCGTTTCAAAATCATATCCAGTTGCTTGAGTAACTGTTTTTTTTTGCGTGTATCTTATTACCTGGATGTCTAACCTTCACCGACGTACATGTACCATCTTCATTCTCACAATTTGAAGTATAAATGCTAAGGAAAACTGAATTATTTGCGATAGTCTAGGCCAGTTGTTTACATGTTTTGACCTGTTATGCCGGGGAATACACACAGAACACAGGAATGTATTGACGTTTGACTTCAGCAACGAGCCATGTGTTTATACATTTCAATTGGTACATTTTGACGGAACAGGAATTCATACCGCTACTGTATCTGCATACTGTACCTTCGTAAGGGTACCCCTAGAAAGTTTCAGACTTGTTATGCATTAACGTGAACAGTTTCAAAGTCAACAAGTTACCACACTATACAGTTTTATATCCGTAAATAATTTCATCAGGTTGGTTAACGAATGAATAGCAAAGTTCTTTGATCACAATCATTTATTTTTTCACGAGCCGACGTTTCGATGACCGTCCGTCATCTTCCTCAGGGTAATTCTGACTGGTTTACATTGCACTGACGCTAGATGTTACTTGGTGCATATTGCACTAACTTGGTGCGTAGTGCAACTAGCTAAGTGCACTGTGAACCAAGCAACAGTGCACTGTGAACTATGTAACACCTTTAGTGCACTATGCACCAAGTAACATCTAGCGTCAGTGCACAGTAAACCAGTCAGAATTGCCCTGATGAAGATGACAGACGGTCATCGAAACGTCGGCTCGTGAAAAATAAATGGTTGTGATGAAAGAACTTTGCTATTTATACAGTTTTATGTTGGTGAACTGTACATGCATTGTCCTGGTTTTTGCTTATTATCGTACGTTTTGATTTTTTTCAGCCATATGAGAAGTTTAAGAGAATCGCACAGGCTGTCCGCATCATCACGAAGACATGCATTTCACTCAAGAGGTAAGGAATTGATATTTCATATAATATATGTTCTCGACATTGGGACATCACTTGTACAATATATTATGTGTTTTGTCAACATGCCATTTATATCTCTAACATTCAATAACGAATGTACAGTGGACAAACTATGTAATTATAATTCCAAATGTTTCAAAAAGAGAGAAGAAAGGGCAACTAACAGTAGATGATAGGTATAGTATATAGTATTGTTGTAATATATAGACTCCTAGCACTTAGCATTAGAATATAGAGTTCCAGTATGCAATACTCATGTTTTTTTATCCTCTCGACCACATTTGGTCACATTTGTTCATTTAGCCCATCTGGGGAAGAACATGCAATAAAGATTCATATCAATAACCTTTACAAAGACAATGACGATGACAATGAAGTTTATTGCATATTCATGGACCCAATGAGGCTAAATGCAGTACCACATATACAAATAAGGAATAGGAAGATTATGCTATGTTCTATATCAGTGCGCAAAATATCTGGTTGCCCAGTTGCCCCAGGCAACCAACTTTTACTTGTGGCAACCTATTTTTGAATCTAGGTAGCCCAGTGTGCTACCTGAATTTTAAGAATGCCCCCCCCCCCCCAAAAAAAAATCATGCTCACTTGGCTTGCACCTCTGTATCCGGCAGATGCTTTTTAATTTTAGGTATTAATGGCTATTACCTAATTATCATCAATTAGTATCAATTAACTAAAGGCTGTTAGAAATATTGTCAAAGGCCTATGTATGTAACATGTAAAAAGTATTTTGTACACTGTATGTATATCTGAGCTGTACATGTTTCTTCTCTCTTCTTGAGTCATTTTTGGACGAATTCACATCGGTCTCTACACTGGTCATTACTATATACCAACTCTTTATATCTCCCCGATGTGCTACGTGACCAATAATTTGACAAATTAATTCACCGCGAATTTTCTTGTGTGTTTTATTGCTCACTATAAATCGTTTTTTGTACCATGTTGCAAACTATAAGATCAAGGGTCGCAAAAAGCCAATGTTAGTAACTGTAAAATATACATATCTATTTCAATGTTGCTATGATATGCGATTTTGCAAGGAATCGTAGCACACTATCTTTAACGCCCCTTTCACAACATCGCAGACGTATTTACTTAAACCACATTCAACGAGAAAAACTATTTAAAGATAACAAACATGCGACACAGAATAACCACTACAAGACTCCGGATTATCTCACACAAACTTCTTGTTGAAAAGGGTAGGCACAACCTCATTCCCTTGCAACAAAGAATTTGTCATATTTTACCTAAATGAGATTGAAGACGAGAGTCATTTTATTTTGGACTGTACTCTATATAATAATGAGAGAAAGATTATCTTCAATTGTATACAATATCATTTACGTCTATTCAAGGTACCTTTTTTTGAAAAGTTTTTTTTGACATGGAAATAATGCCATACGCCCAGTGATCGCTATGTAGAGAAAAGTGGCCTTACTTGGGCACCGTACGTACTTGTATTCAGGCTATTACTAATCCTCAAACCAATATGTTCAGTCTTTCCTGTTTGGTCCCGCCTCTGTATGCGCTGTCATGTACCTCCTCCAGTTTACACGCCGAGAGCACGGAACATGCTTTCAGGCGAAGGAGCGCAAAACTAGCAAAACACTCCAGAACCGATTAGGCCATGTTGATTTGATTATATGGATGATATCCCCTGGGAAACCCAAAACCGATGCAAGCGTGCGAAAAAAATTGGCAAAAAATAGTTTCTTTCATTATGAAATCTACGTGGTCATGAAGGTTGAACAAATGACACAAATGAGTATGGTTTGGCGAATAATCTAGTCTCAAATTCATTTCTTTACATTTACATCTTTTTCGTTTGATTTTGGCATTCTACAACATTGGTACCGTTTTCCAATGTTTTTTTTTTAAACTTACGGTATATATTTTCTCATTGAATGTTATAATACTGTCCTCAAGAAAAATATACCATAGATTAGCTTTTGTAAAATTTTAATTTAGTATAGCTAGTGTCATTGTGGATTAACTCTGTTAGAATTGTATTTCAGTATAGTTCATCTGTATCTGTATAGCCGGTATAACCGCCTTTCGGCGTAACACACCAGCTTCGCAGGCACGCGGCGCGGCGGCAGCTGGTTATATTACACCGATCGACTTGTTACACCTAACCCTTGAACTTCTAGCTCTAGACATTGTTTGAAGCTATCTATTGACAATGCCCCTACTGTACTTGGTGACAGTGAGTTCCACTCTGCGATAGTTCTAGGAAATAATGAATTCTTGAACACCTCAATCCTTGGTTGATAACTCTAGGTACTTGAAGGCATGACTATTTCTTGTTCTCTTCTGGGCTGGTATTAGGTACTTAGTAGTTGGGACGTCCACAAGTTTAGCTATCTACCCTTGTTTTTTCTTCTTTGCCATACATTGTAACAGCTACAGTTGTTGAGCAATTTTGTTTACAAGCGCATTACGGTTAATATGTATATTTGGCCTATGTTTGTATTGATTAATTCTATTGTTTGTCAGCTACATCAGTGGCGGAGAGACGAAGGAATGGTCTCTGGTGGAAATGCAGCTGAACCTACAGAAGGACTTTAACCAGTCTCTGTACTTCAACAGGGACATGTTCAGCAAACTCAGAGTGGTCAGTCATATTTTCATCATTTTCTTAGATATGAATTCAAACATATAATCACAAGAAGTGGTGACGGCACACTTAAGTTTTTTTTAAACTTATATTAATGCCGCCACCAACACAGGGGACAATACAATACTCATTTTCACCCGAGTTAAGTGAGGAAAGTCGTGTAAAGTGCCTTTCCCAAGGGCACAAGATCGGCGGCATGGACTCGAACTCTGGACCTCTTGGTTACGCCACACGACCCCACACGACCCCATATTTTTATCATAATAACTTTATTGTAAATTCTTGCTCGAAGGCTACAAGTAACAAAAATGAATGAAAACATACCATACGATAACTCTAATCTAGATGCTAACTCTAAATTTTTTGAGTTCACAGTTTGTTAAACAAACGTGGACGATATATCCAACTTTTCTGTAAAGTGTGAGACTTCTGATGTACACATGTGAAATGAATACGGGATAGATCCACTAAATGCTGCAGGGCTCTTTTTGCAATTTTCCATATTCTAAGGCGTTTGTATAGCTTCGGGTGTTCAGCATTACTCTATTAAAAATTACGGGTCTCAGTGGCAAATATTCAGATGTTGGCATATTGGTGCACCAAATCCGCAGTGCGTTTTTGGCACATATTTTGACATTAGCCTAAGAGGCTCGGTGGGCGTCACTCCACCGTGCAGGTAGGGAAGTCGTGTGCCTTTCCCAAGGGCACAACGTCGGGGCATAGTGGGTATCGAACCCGGGACCTTTTGATTCCGAGTCCAACACTCTAACCGTTGCGCCACCGACGCCACTCTATAAATCTTGTGTCTGTATTTTCTATCCCATCCAGACCAGAGGGAGTGAGAAGTTGAAGAAGATACTGGCCATCCCTCCCACTGAGCGGACGAGAGATCACATACAAGTGGTGAGGACAGAAGATTTTTGTTCGCTGATGTACTTATTTGGTTGAATTGAATGAATGTTAGACCTAGGGAAAAATGTTGTTTTTTCTGTTTCCTGTTTCCCGACCGACCCTAGAAAAAACCACCGACCCTAGACTTTTTTTCAGTTTGCGTGGGCCCTTGCAAGCTCATCAACCTTTTCTAGCTCCATGATGTTATTTTTGACACGGTAAATTATGTGAAAATGTATATTTTTATGTTAATTTCAGCTGCTGGCCCTGTTGAGACATCACAAGTCGTTCCAGGACTACCCAACTCACACACAGATCCTCCTGTCTCAGATCATGATCTATCAGAAGTAGGTGTCATCATTTTTTTTACGCCACGCTGACTTAATTTTATGGATGACATTCGTAAGCGCATTGATTTTCGCCTGTCCTCAAAAAAAGATCACGTCCTCCGAGACTCTGGCCTGGCTCTAGGCCTGGGTAGTCCATGGTAGTTATGCTTAGGTCACAATTCAAGAAAGGGGCCCGCTCGGCGCGTGTTCGGCGTGTTTTTTGGCACTACCGAACGGGACCTGGACGGAGACCGGCGGGCTTCCCGACGGCTGCCGGCCTATTTTGGCCCCGCGCGGTCGCCGAATCGATTTTAACTCAGAGTTAAAAACACTTCGGGCCCCGTTCGGCGAAATACGCCGAAGCGACGCCGTAACCTCACTGCCCGGGACCCGTCGGGCGGCCGAACAGGCACCTGCCTAAGATTATGACGTCACATGTGCTGATCAGTGCATCAGATGGTCAGGGAAAGGGGGTTATAGGGAGCATATATAAACTCCTGCCTCAGACTACGTGGCACAGTTCACCACGTGTGTGTTACATCGTGTACTTGTGTGTGTTACACCTTTTATTTGTGTGTCAGAATGTCGAAGGGCAAGGGAAAACAGCCGGCACGGCTCTCTTGCCAACTTCATAAAACAGATCATAACAGGAATAGAATGTGTCTGACATTATCTCTTGTTACATCATATGCCTTCGTAATAAAATGGAATCAGAAGTTATTGGCATTTATTTTCAGTCCAAATTTCAACAGAAGTAACGATATTCAGTGGTTTTATTGCTCAATAGCAAGGAGCTGCCACGGCACACTTCCTGCGTCACTGTTGAAGTACTTTCGAAAGTAGGCCCTCGGTTACTTTTGCGACGCACCAGTTCTGCCTGCCTCTCTTCTTCAGCTACCAATGCCAGAAGACCTACATGTAGGTTGTCACCAATCTCAATCTCAGACGGGCTTGTAAGTTGTTTGCAGGTTGCACTGAACGCTGCATCGCCAACTTCAGTCTACTCTTTACTTGACGTGTACTCTTTACTTGAAGTGAACGGTAGCAGGAAGTGCAGCGCTTATATATGTACCTGCTCAAAAACACGAGAGGATCCCGTCGGGATCCCGCCAGGAACCCGCCAGGGACCTGACAGCTGCCCGGCCGAACTGTAAGAGCCGGTCGGCACCCTACCACACGCCGCACGGGTCAAGACTGGCGACTGACCGGGCACCGGACGGGTCCCTGACAGAAACCGGCCGCAAAAGTTTATGAATATTAATGAGAGCCGCCGGCCGGAGCACAAGCAGGCCCCGACAGGGAGCCGTAAAGGAACATTTAATTGTGACCCTGACAGTACGGCGCACGCTCGGCGTCATGACGCCGGCCGGCGTCTACGCCGAGGACATGCCGAACGGGCGCCGTTTCAAATGTGACCTAAGCATTAGCGACAACACAGAGCCGGTGGTAACTCTGGAGGACGGCACCCAGGCTACAGAAGCCCCACGACTCAAGAACTCAGAACATACGTACAGTGTCGATTCATAAACTCCAGCAAAACGCCAGCATGTGCCGGCTTGTTGTATACGTCACTATGTACTGACGCAAATTCACAATACCAGCTTTGTATTCCTGTGGGTTAATAGCATTTTTATTTTTGACCGGATTTTTTTTTATTCGCCCGCGTGCACTAGTTTGGGGGTCTTCAGAGGATGTCATCCATAAAATTAAGTCGGTCTATCCAAAACCATATGCTCAAGCACGGTCTTGGATACATCATACGTTTCCTTGACATATTATGGACAGTTTGAGTATGATCAAGTTTCTCTTAATCGAAATTCATATCCGAATCACTACAAAAGCGACACCATATTGAAAACAACTAACATATCTCCTGAATTATAGAATGTAATGATATTCTCCTCAAGAAAACATACAATAGATCAGCTTTGGTAAAATTGTAATTTAGTATAGCTAGTATCATTACGGATTGGCTCTGTTAGAATTGTTAGATGGTGTGGCCTAATTAGAGAGACAACACTAAACGACCCGGTACAATTCACAATGTATCAGTATCTGTATCTGTATCAGTATAGCCGGTGTAACCGCCCTTCGGCGTAACACACCAGCTTCGCAGGCACGCGGCGCGGCGGCAGCTAGCTATATCACACCGAACGACTTGTTACACTCAATCTTTGCCCATTTAATCGCAGGGGTTGTTTAAAGCTTTCTAGTGATGATGCCCCAACTGTGCTTTGTGGCAACGAGTTCCAGTCTACGATAGTTCTGAGGAAATACGAGTTTTTGAAAACCTCAATTCTTGGTTGATAACTCTGATATTTGAAGGCATGACTGTTTCTCGTTCTTTTCTGGGCTGGTATCAGATACTTAGTAGTTGGGACGTCCACCAGTTTATTAGTCATTTTATACATCATGCACAGTCTGGACATTCTACGTCTGTCTTCCAGCGACCCCCACTGTAGGTTTCCCAATGTAGAATTAGTTCAAGGCAAACTGTGAACAGGTAACGTCATTGTTTTCTTGTCCTTTCTATCGCTACCGTGTTCCTAATTGCGAACCCATCCAAACTAATGTCCACAGGTGACCATTAGCAGGTATTTTAATTGGTTGGCTAACATTGTGCTATCAAACCTCGGACTAACACGCAGCGTATTGACTTAGTCTCTTACCGACACTTTGTAGTAACAATAAGGCCACAGCAAGTCATTTTTATGGATGGCATCAGCGCGCGCATTGATTTTGAAAAAAAATGACATTTTGTTGCCGAAAATGGACAAAATGTTTCAAAATTCTATCGGTTAGAGATCCAGCAAAACTTGGGGCACAATTGCCTTTTTTTGTTTTTGCTTTATTCTTTCACATAAAAAGATACAGAGATTGAACCATCCAGGGAATAATACAATAATAATCAAATTGATTTTGTTTTATGGCAAGTGTTGACAGTCTAAGGTGCTTCATCACGTATGAATTATCTTGTCAACGATTGTTAATTGAGACGTATACATATATTCAAGGACTACGAATAACTATCAAAGGGGTGTTAGTGTAACGGAAATGAAAAGAAACCTACAGTGGGGGTCGCTGGAAGACAGACGTAGAATGTCCAGACTACGCATGATGTACAAAATGAGTAATAAACTGGTGGACGTACCAACCACTAAGTATCTGATACCAGCCCAGAAAAGAACAAGAAACAGTCATGCCTTCAAATATCAGAGTTATCAACCAAGAATTGAGGTATTCAAAAACTCGTATTTTCCCAGAACTATCGTAGACTGGAACTCGTTGCCACCAAGCACAGTTGGGGCATCATCACTAGAAAGCTTTGAACAACTTCTGCAATCAAATGTGCAAAGGTTGAGTGTAACAAGTCGTTTGGTGTGATATAGCCAGCTGCCGCCGCGTCGCGTGCCTGCGAAGCTGGTGTTTTACGCCGAAGGGCGGTTATACCGGCTATACAGATACAGATACGTAGGACAGGTAATACTGTTTAATACCCAAATAGACCCAAGACCTGGTGGCCATATTGTCATGTTTTGTCGCCTCACATCCGGATCAACAAGGTTTATTATCTCAAAATTTAAAAATGTAGTAATCTTTTTGGCCCGCCTTGTTTTTTTTTCGCCCTATCGCATATAGATTTGAAGTCTGTGGTGGATGTCATCCATATAGTTTACTTGCTGTGGCCTAGCCCGCAGGTCTGTTGTGTATATAAAGGTAGATGAACTGTAGAACGTGCGTGGAACAAATGAAAAGAGTACTAACACCAGATGGGACAGAAATAGATTGAATTACACTGTTTGCCCATTACGGTAGAAAGCCATTAGCGACTGTAACTTTTTCATGGGGAACAAAAAAAGGCTGTCTTTTACCGCTAACGCCGAGTCTGCTAACATGCATATCACGTCGTGGTCATGGTCACGTCGTCTGATTCAACAAAACAATAAATTCACCAACAGAATCTGAAACGCTAATAATTTCTAAATAAACGAGGTTATTTTAGCTATGCATACTTTAGCATTAGTATCATTTTATGTCTTGAGGTGGTGGGACTTTGTATTTTGTTGTGTGGCGCTGTTAAAATTTAAGTTATAAACTTGAGTGCAGCGCCACACTGTCCTTGTTACTGTTTTGTTGTGTATTGATAAATTGATATGATCTTTATTTGCAAAATCATGCCCCAAGGCTAATTGCTTTACAGTCGAAGATACTATTCGGTACAATACTGTAACAATGATAGGAGACAGACAACTACTGTCTGGAAAACTTATACTTCTACTTCTACGCTTGCTATTATAAGATTTGACTTCTTCTTCAAAGGCAGTGGATAATGAATAGTCCCACATTCTGCATAATTAGTGGGTTTTGTGATCTTAGTAGAAACGTAGTCTTTTGGTGATCTTCTAAATGTTGGAAGTATGGAGAAATTGTGGTAACTGTCTGAAATGATTTGTTTCTGTCGGTCTCATAGTGAGGACACTGGCTAACAAAATGTGTTTCATTTTCCACTGCATTCATTGTACAATATTTACATAATCTCTCGTGCACAGGTAGTTTTCTATATTTCTATCTCCAATGGGTGTGCACTTATTCTAAATATATCAATGGTTTATTTGCATTAAGACACAACAACACTGTCCCAAAAATGGCAGCCAGAGGCTGAATTGACATTGGGGCATCACATTATTAGTATAAAACGTCATATTAAGCGATTAAAATAGAAATAAACCATTACATGAAATGAATATAAAATATTGTCAACGACGTTTCAAGTGCAAAATTAATATCGTAGCAGATAACAAAACAGACGGACACTGGTAACACTCAAATAAGTCTTAGGTTAAAAAAAGGTGACAGTGTTACATGTTAAGCAGGCGGATCATGAAAGGAAGGGCACTATTCTGATAACGATCAGTTCTGCTGCGAGGAGTGTTCAGTTTATAATTATAAGCTGAACTGGTTTGACGACCACTTATTATAAAATCTTACAAATGGCAGATCTCTCGCCAAACTCATTGTGATACAGGTATTTAAAAACAGTTCTGATCCTCCTCAGTTACGAGGCCCGGCGGATCGTTCTGAAGCAGGGACACAGACCGTTCTGTTTCTACATCATCCTGTCCGGCACCGTGCTCATCAACGTGAAGGAGAAGGACGAGCGGACCGGTAAAACCTTCGTCAGGACCGTCAGGGAGCTCAGCGGGGGAGACGTGTTCGGGGTGAGACGGGAAACATCCCTATTCTCTCACTCACCCATTCACTCATTCACCCACTCACTCACTCACTAACTCACTCACTCATCCACTCACTCATTCACTCACCCACTCACCCATTCACTCATTCATTCATTCACTCACTCATTCAATCATTCATCCATTCATTCATTCATTCACCCACTCACTCATTCATTTACTCTTTCTCTCGCTCATTCACTTACTCTCACTCATTCATTCATTCATTCATTCATTCACTCACCCACTCACTCATTCACTCAATCACTCACTCATTCACTCAATCACTCATTCACTCACTCATTCACTCACTCACTCACTCATTCACTCACTACTACACGTGGGTGCCAAAAGAATATGCACAGCTGCAGAATCAGTGAGAAATTCAAAATTATGAATGCAACAAGTTCATGACAGCTTTGAATACTTCACTGAGGCGTGGATTCTCCGATTGACTCACTTGAACTTGAGACTTGTTTAAAGGTTCCTTCTGTCTTGTGATGTCCCAGGAGACTGCCATGATGAGTGACGGTGTCCGGGGTACCACGGTGGTCTGTAAGGATGAGGTGGAACTACTGGTCATAGAGAAGGAGGTACATACCGCAGTACTCCATGTGTATAGGTTTTTCTGTAGACACGGCAACCGTTTTCAGTAGAATTCGAATGTTTGTTTGTTTGTTTGCTTGTTTATGTAAGATCTCCATTAGTGTGGATTTCACACTACGTCCTATTTTTCCTGGAGTCCGTAGTGAATCATCAGAAAGTAGTATTTGGACCATCGCACACCGGGGCATGCCCCTACTCTTTTTCGAAGTGTGTGTTGGGTTCTTTAACGTGCGTGGGGTGTGACTCTCACCAAACACGGGACATCCATTTAACGTCCTATCCAAGGGACGTCCCTAACCGAAGCTAGGTACTCATTTACACCTGAGTGAAGTGAGGAAAGTCGTGTAAAGTGCCTTTCCCAAGGGCACAAGATCTGTGACAAGGTAGGATTCGAACTGAGCCGAACGCGCTACCGCCACGCCACACTACCCCACTAAAGTATAGTATAGTCAAGTATAAAATGACAAGTATGGTATAAACTTAGTAACGTTAAACTAAAAAAGATGTTGTTTCCTTCTTTCCAGGATTTTAACACAATCATCAGAGAACCTCTAGAGAAACAAAGAGAAGAACATGTGCAGTATGTCCGGTGGGTGGACGACTCTGTAGTAATTATAAACTAAATACTAGAAAGGTAACATTTGCAAAGCAAATGCATAATGTTTACCCTCGCATATGGTCTACTCTGTTAATTCTTACTCAAACATATTCACATATATGGTGACAGGAGTATAAATCCCTCCTACTATAAAATTGCAACATGATGTAACCCCAACACCCAGTTACCATGGTGACAAACAGTCTGGTTCAGGTCATTGACCTGGTCAGTGTTTGGTACGGAAGAAGAAGAAACAGTGCAAAAACAATATGTTTTCCTTCGGGAAAAATAACTAGTATATATTTCTCCATCCCTATATCTTTGGGTGTATGCTTCTTTCATCCATACAGCCCATTTCATTCCACAGGTTTGTTTAAACAAATGAACATCTGTTATGCTTGACACGCACTATATTCTTATGGCCTTATTTTTCAGAGATTTACCGTTGTTTGAGGACTGGCCGGTTGAACTGCTTCGGACTGTCAACCATCAGTTTATGTACCAGTATTACAAGTAAGTATTGCAAGTACAGTTGGGGAAATATTTTAGAATGATACTGCTGTATGTTGCGATTTGTGCGATGAATGATTGATTTTACAATCATAAAACAGACCAGATTTGGTAAAATTCGATAATAATTTCTCTTGCTTTTTTCAGAAAAGGAAATGTCGTTGTGAAAAACTGGAAGGAGAATAACTACCTCGTCATAGTGAAATCGGTGAGTCAACAAGTTTCACATTAATTGTGATTCCTGACAAAGGGTCTAAATACTGCAAAATGTTTATGGGTCGTTAGGCGTCGCTTTTACACCATACGCTGATGTGGAATGCACGCCAACAACCTGTTCTTGGTCTCCAGGGATCGTGCCGTGTTGTTAGTGAGGTGAAAGAGGAAGTAGTGCGACCTAAAACCACGTCACCCCGGACACTGCCCTCTCTGGATCAGCGGATAAAGAGCAGTGGCATGGGGGTCAGATGCAGTAAGTACGATTTGATCTCATCTTGAAAGTTCATCTTGAAAGTTCATCTGTGTTGGTAGAAATCATTATGAAGCAAGTTTAAACTGAAATTTCCAACACAAGAAATTGGACTCACCTTCGACTGTACAACTCCAGTCTTTGTCAAGGAATGAACAATCACCGCTTTCATGATGTCACGCAGATAACACACGTGACTCCGTGAGCAGTGGATCATAGGTTGCAGTCTGTGGCGCCCCCCGTCTCTGTTCATTCCTTGACAAAAACTGGAGTTGCACAGTCGAAAATTTGGGTGAGTGTTGTTGTTATTGTAGTTTTAACGTATTGTTTCTTTTTTTTTAATTCCAGAAAGTGTTCTTGGTTTGACAGGATCGCAAAAGATTGCACCACGTCAAGATAGAATGCTCGAATTGAAGGTAGGCCACATAGGTAGAGAAGACTGGCAATGAAAACATACATTGCCATGGTGACGGTGGTTGCTGTTAGGGTTATTGTTTGCATGGCACTGCCATCATTTCATGATTTTGAGGAAGACTTGGTACCTGTTAAGTCTAGACAGTTACAGTGCACTCCTCCCCTGTGTATAGTGAACGAGCCCCGGGGTCACAGAAAGTAGGGCCATCCGGGGCAGATAGGTCTTCCCAAGGATTTCCAGGAATGTGGGCATAGATGTGGATCAGAGACATGCCTGTGGACATTCCATTCCTGTGGGCAAAATGCCTGTACCATTCCTAGAATTCTTGCAAACTGCACACAATACTGTACCATTAGGCTCCTCCCTGAGACGTCGCCAAAATGGGGAAGAACATACTTAAACGTTTTGTGCTACACTAAATGTGATTAAATCATTTATTTCCATAATGCAGTTCATACTAATGTCGCAAGGTGGCAATAGCTACCGTCCCACTAATGTTGACATTGCCTACATGTACAGGTGTACAGAGAAGACAAGTCTGTCAGTCCTGACATCTTCACACAGTATGAGGAGCAGAAGAGACGAAGAAAAATGTCGGTAAGGTTCACTTCCCTGGAATAAATATCGATATTTCATTGATAAAAAGTTATCTAGTATACGTATACATGTCGATCAAGCATATTTTTTTTGTTTCCGATAACAATTCTTTGTAGACAACTAAGCCTAAAGTATCCGATGTCTTGCTTTACTTTTAAGTTTAAAGCGACAGTGTGTAAGATTTTTGCGCCAAAACTGTAAATGTAAACAATTGAAATTTTCACATCTAGATTGTCATTTTCAATAACTTTCAACGCATTAGCGTCGCTATTTCGCTTTTCCGGCGACTCAGCGCAGCGCGAGAATAAGTTGCGTCAGGCCTACTTGTATTTTTAGGAGGCTCCTAAAAAGAATGTAAACATGCGTACATGGCCATGATTCGCCCTAGCGCCGAGGAGTTGGCAGTTTTTCAACACGAATTTGAGGAGCAATGACGTTGATTTTTTTTCCTCCCTACATGTTATGATGAACCCAGGTAGGCTTATAGCACCAGAAAATGTTTAAAACAACGATGTTTGAAATAGTGAAAATCTTACATAACATCTAAAATCTCTTGTTCAGAACCCATTGGAAGCGATGGAACGTGCCAACAAGGACATCTCACCACACTGGGTCCGGGGCAAGTCACGTGGACATCCGGATGGACAGAAACCTAAAAGCAGCCGAAGTAAGCTAACTTGTGTGGACTAACTATTATTCTATTTTATTCATACATCTGTTTTGCTTATTCAGATTTATAACTTGAATTGTTGGAGTGAATATTGTAACAATCATTATAAAGCAAGTTTAAAGTGCGATTCCCAACAATTGAAATTGTCGACTGTACAACACATGGGCAGTCTTTGTCAATACATGTACTTCTTTGCACGAGGTATTAAAGAGGCTGTCTACAACGTAGCATTGAAACTATCCTTCAACCAAGACGGGGGGTGCCACAGACTTTCTGCAACCTATTAAACAATTCTACCTCTAATAACTGCATGTGTCTGTGTAACAGTGGGTTTCAATCGTCGCTAAACTAGCCCATTCCAACGCGGGCCCGGATCTTTGGAGTAGTGGTTAGCGCGCTGATATCGTAAGCTGGCTGCCCAGGTTCGGCGCGGGTTCGATTCCTGGCGTCCCGGGAGTCAGGGATTTTCCAGTTTCTGCTTACTGCTTAGTCCTCTTCTGAGCCAGCATGGCTCTTAAGGCAGAAGGTAGCTCTTCCATCTGGCCCGGTCCGCTGCCATCTTTGGTGCCTCATCGAGAGTGAAACCATGGCTCCGCACTTCTTCGTCGATGATTCTTCGCCATGTTTCCTTCGGTCGTCCTCTAGGTCTCCTGCCCTGAGGCGTCCATCTTAGAGCTGTTCTGGTGACACTATCTGGTGGCATGCGGCATATGTGACCTCACCATCTCCATCGTCTGTTTATCAACATTTGGTCTATTGTCATGAGTCTTGTTTTTAGATAGAGATTTCTATTGGAGATCGTTTTTGGCTAGAAGATTTTTAGTATTCTACGCAGACATTTATTTTGGAAGACATAAAGTTTGTTTTTGATGTAAGATGCCTCTTTCCAACATTCAGCTCCGTATAAGAGAACACTGAGGACGTTACTTCTGTAGATGTTGATATTTGTCCTGGTATGTATTTGTTTGTCATTCCATACTGGCCGGAGGATTCCTGTTTCTACTCGCTCCTATTTTTTCACCTGTACCAGGTCAGGACGGGAAGGGCACGACAGTACAGCTGAACGTGAGTGACGGCACGGCCAGGGTGTGGAGGAGAATATCGTTCGGCGCCAAAACATCCGAGGTAGGTGTGACAGGGACATTTAAACATGTCTATATAGTCTGATGCATTAATAGATTCATACGTCAGTGTTATTAGATGATTTATCAAGCTATCCATGATTCTTTGCACCAGATCTTGTTTTCTTCTGTGGGGTCGTGTGGCGTAGCGGCAGAGTACGCGACTCGGAACTTAGAGTCCCGGGTTCGAGTCCTGACATGCCACCGATCTTGTGCCCTTGGGAAAGGCACTTTACACGGCTTTCCTCACTTAGCTCAGGTGTAAATGAGTATTGTCCTGTCATGTATGTTTCCCCTGTGTTCGTGGCGGCATTAATATAAGTTGAAAAAAACTTGAGTGTGCCGTCACCACGTCTGGTGATTACATGTTGGAATAAAAAAAAATCTTATTTCCTCCTAACTTTCTTTATCTCTCTTTCATTCGTCTCCCTTTGTCTCAGTATTCTTAGAACATTTCTTTAAACAAGTATGATTCTAACGGGTACGGAACTATTGTTCTGGATGACTGGCTGAGCTGTGAGTTTACGAAATTGTTTGCCAGGACAGAGTAAGTTGACATCGCGTCGGTGAGGAAGATACCCTGGATGCCAAAACTAGTATCGGGCCGTTAGCCGTTTTCCTTAGGGAGCCAAGAGCCATTCGCCCGCCTATCTTAATTACCGCTACGGGGGAGTTGAGCCCGAGGGGTTTGTACGGCCAGCCAAACTCCCCCCGGGCTAGACTCCCCCGTAATTTACACCAGCGGGCGAAGGACTCTTGCGGCCCGGAAAACGAGTTCTGGATTCCAGGGTATGAGGAAGATTGACGGGCAGAAAGACAGGGGAGCAGAAGGTCAGTCATAGGAAATGGGGGTAAACTTGACGGCCATGTGAACCCCGTCTACTTTCCGTAAATCTGAAATCTCTATTTTATTTTCTCGAACAGGACAGAGCGAGACGAGAAGCCATAGCCGAGGCGCAGAGACAATGGCGGTACAGATATGCTGAAGTCGCCACACTGGGAGAGGGTTCTGTATTCGTAAGTAAAATATGTCAAGCTTCTGACTTTATTTCTACAGCATATTTAGAATGCTTTTGGAACTGTTAGTTAACCGATAAAACTACCTTTCACTCCCACTTCACTTTCTTGAATGGGCGAGGGTGAGAAGAAGGTGCCGTTTAGATTAGCAAGTTCTGAAAGCTAACAGTTTTCTTCGTCTAAGCATTCTAATACGTTCTTTCTTTTGCAGGGTTTGGAAACGCTAATGCAGAAGCCGAAAGTAAAGTTGAGCTTGGTGAGTTTGTCAAACTATTAGCAGACATCGATTGAATAAATTATATCCCGGTGATAGTCCTGTATTTTATAGTATTTTATTTTATATTTTATAGTATTACATTATAGTAGCCGTGTTAAGCTACAATGTACAATTTGAGTAAAATAATGGGCATTTATAGCAGACAAGTTTGTTTGTTTGTTTGTTTGTATGTTTGCCACACTTTTCTTCCTGGAGTCGGTAGTGAACCATCAAACATAAGTATTTGGACCATCACACACCGGGGCATGCCCCTACTCTTTTTCGAAAGGTGTGGTGGGTTCTTTAACGTGCGTGGGGTGTGGCTCTCCCCAAAGACGGGGCGTCCTTAACCAAAGCTAGGTACTCATTTTCACCTGGGTGAAGTGAGGAAAGTCGTGTAAATAGCCTTTTGCAAGGGCACAGGATCGGTGACAAGGTAGGATTCGAACCCAGGACTTCTTGGTTCTGAGCCGAACACACTACCGCCACAAACCTTTTTTTTTTTAAATGCGTTTGTTTCCTGTACAGATCAGTGACGATGCGGAGTGTATCCTACTGTCCAAACAGCTGTTTCTGAAGGAGGCCACGCCGAAGTGTCTTCGGTGTGTCAATGACATGGTAGGTCGTCACTTCCGGGTCGGGAAGTATTGTTTGGGGTGGCTGAGCCACTAGACTAAGTGTATGTTTTTATACTTGTCCGGACAGAGTAGGCCTGGATAACATTTGGTATGGAGGATTTTTTTTTTTTTGAGATTGATATTAGAATGGTGTGAGACATTTGAAACGTTTAGATATTACCGGTTCTTGAAAAGTCCACATTTTGGCAATTTGGCGTTAATATTGTACAATCCCCCTGCGATCAGAACTGGCACTGCAGAATGCTCCCTGATATGGTACCCGTACTGCTGAAACTGTTTTTGCCTGATTTTGAACAAAAAAAATTGGTGCCCTCTGAAAATGGTCAACATGCCGAAAATGGGCAAAGATGTCTGTTGCCATGCCTGAACGTGGATGGCAGATGAATATGAAGAGAGGAGACAAGACAAGGGTCTGATTTAATGTTTTGTCTTTTACTTTGATGCAGTGATGTATGCATTTCTTTTATATGTGATGTTTACTGAATCAAAACCATTTGTTCAACGATTGAAAACTTTTATCTTTCAGTGACAAATGGATGTTGTAATAGTTGGCTGTAAACTATATAGGTATCATTTCGTTTGGTTTATGATGTCAAAATTTGAAAATATGGAAATCTTGTTTTCTTGGCTCGACTTGTTTTTTCCCAATTGCATTAAATTTGCAGTCTGCGGAGGATGTCATCCACAAAATTTACTTGCTGTGGCCTTATTCAGTTTTTATGTCTTATTCCAGCTGACCCAGTACCCGTCTCTGGAGTTTGTTCGGCAGCAGTTGCAACAACAGAAGGACTGGGTAGCCTACAAGTCCAGTATCACACAGGACATTATCAACCGGAAATGGCCTGGGGCAAGTCCCAGGTGACGTCACTTCCCTTTTTGACGTCAGACTGTCAAACAGAGCCACCTAGCGAGACCTGTGCATGACTGCAGCCGCTATACATCAGCACCTGATGCCTGCGGATGATTGATTGATTGATTGATTGATTGATTGATTGATTGATTGATTGATTGATGAGAATAAAGACTTTACACGTATTGAGATGGCGAGGCTGCTATGTGTAAATTTGTTAACATTTTTTGTTCACAAACGATGGAACGAAGCACTGTATATGGCGAAAATCAAAGCGGTGTAAATGTTTTTGTACTTTTTTTTCTATTTTACAGGTATGAAAATCATGACAAAATCGTAAAGCTTAGCACACCTAAAACTCAGGCAAGCTTAATAGACTAAGCCTGAAGCTCCGCCCACCTCTGTCAATTAAATATTTGACGGACATGCAGCCACTCTCTCTTATTAGTCGAACCACTAATTGCCATTCTCTGATTGGCTGAGCTTCTAATTGTGATGAACATTCGGGATTGGTCTATTATCTTGTTCTGATCATGACTGCCTACCATACGAGTATCGAACAACAGGCTGCAACATATTGCTGCTCATTCATGCCTATCCGTTTTTGTATTATTAATAATTCATGGTGATGATCTCAGGATGTAGTCAATAATTTCAAAATATATGATACTTAATGAAAAAAAAATCATGTTGCTTATATATAATTCTTTTGACTGCTATATTTTGTGCAATAAACCTTTTGTCTTCATAATTTCTTTGCAGTGTATTTTTATTTTTATCTTATTTTTATTTTATGAAGATTTGCCACATTTGTGGAAGGATTGACATAACAGGTGACTATCACCTCTTTAAGGCAACTAAAGGACGTGAGAAAGGACAGAGCGGTCATCCATTGATGATGGCCTATAATTAGGCCATGTTGATTTGATTATATGGATGACATCCACTGGAATCCCCAAAACTGACGCGAGCGTGCAAATAAAATAAAAAAACGTTTGGCCCCAAAATCATGAAATCTATGTGGTCATAACGGTGAGGTTGAACAAATGACTTTACACACAGAGTATGGTATGGCGAATAATTACTTACTTACTTAGGCCCTTCGCTCCTGCCAGAGCATAGGCCACCGACGATGGCTCTCCACTTCACCCGCCTCTGGGCTGTCTTCCTCAGGTCCTCTCAGCTGTTCGCTATTCTCCTCATCTCCTCCTCAGTGTCTCTTCTCCAAGTATTTCTGGGCCTTCCTCTCTTTCTTTTTCCCTGGATGGCGAATAATAATAGGCTCTTTATTTTCATTTCTTCACATTTTCATATTTTCCTAAATTGATTTCGGCATTCTATGACATCAGTATCGTTTTCAAATACTTTTTTTGCAACATACGATATATATTCGCTCATTTTGTACGATTTAGGGTATGGTCGAAACCTTTTTTGTTGTTGTTGCTGAAACGGCCAAAAATTCATGCGCGCGTGGATGTCATCCATATAATCATATTAGCATGGCCTAAGAGGGCATAGATTATATAGATACACATGTATATAATGTCATCTGAATGAGAAATGTTTGAAATCCTGTAGTCACGACACGGAAACTAAGCGTCATTATACTACAGCATTACAGACACAAATGTGAGACTTTATCACACAGATCATGCTTTTTGGTTTGGATAATCTTCTTCATCTTAGCTTCGATAAGCTAGGCGTGGTAGTTAGGCCACAGCAAGTAATTTTTATGGATGACATCAACGCGCGCATTGATTTTCGGCTGATTTTGGAAAAACAAACAAGAAATTTTGTTGCCTTCTGACAGTGGTCACCATGCCGAAAATTAGCGAAGATGTCTGTTGCCATGTCGGAAGGTGGATGCTAGACAACTATGAAGGAAGGAGACAAGAAAAGGCTCTGATAGATTTAATGTTTTGTTTCTTACTTTGATGCAGTGATATGTGATGCTGGCTGTTTATATGTGATGCTCCCACTGAATCAAAACCATTTGTACAATGATTGAGTCAAAATTTTAAAATGTAGGAACCTTGTTTTTTTTCGGCCTGTCTTGTTTTTTTTTCGCCCGCTCGCATTAGATTTGGAGTCTGCAGAGGATGTCATCCATAAAATTTACTTGCTGTGGCCTTACGTTAATGGAACACATAGGGATATGTCACGTTAAATGCTGTCGCATTCTGTAGAGTACAGAAATGCCTTGGCAGTGTTGTTGCAATTTTCGGTCTAAAAGTTACATCATGCATCATATACTGCACTAGAAGTCGTGTTATTACAAATTTGAACACATATATTTATGAAAGGAAAACATATTGTTTATTATACGTTTCTTCTTCTTCTCCCGTCCCAAACACTGACCTCTGACCTGGCCAATGACCTGATTTGTTGACGTCTCTAACCATGGAAACTGGTGTTGGGTTACATAATGTTGCAATTTTATAGTAGGAGGGATTTATACTCCTGTCTGAACATATATATATAATTATGAATATGTTTGAGTAAGAATTAACAGAGCAGACCATATACAAAGGTAAACATTATGCATCTGCTTTGCATTTCCTTGCAAATGTTACCTTTCTAGTTGAACATTTGTCTCGTCTCTCACACAAATAAACAACCATGGCAAGTAGTTACAACAATGTTTGGTCGACTTTATTCTCAACGATACGAAAAATAGAAATGTAAGCATCTGAATTAATACTCTCTTCTTGTTTTGTTCCAGTTACATTTAAAGCTATTTACATTCACACACATCAAGGAAAAGAACATGGAACATGGTATTGAACTATTTACAGAAGTATGGACGGTTGGATAAGGGTTGGTTATGTCTAATTTTCTCAAGAAAATAATTTCTCAAGGAAGTACAAACATTAGCTTCCTTGTGTCTTATTCTGTGCTAAACTAGTGATATACCTGCACAAACAATTGCGTTCACTTTAAAACCAGTTACGTGTTACACTGAAAACGTATACATCTCTTGTCCCTATCAAGATAACAAGATATGAGTTAGGACTAAAGGTATGTAAACGGAATAAGGCCGGTGTTAAACCTACACATGGCACACACAAGATGAAATTTATGAAATGTTCAGAACACATAAAACGTTAAGGCCACACCAATTCAATTTCTTGGTTAACGGATTCGCCTGCTTCATTTTTTTCTGATTTGCAAATAAATATAAAAATTCAGACTCAACTGCAAAATGTTCATATTTTGCATTGAACAGTTGAAAACAGTCCTTTTCATCCTAGTTGTTACAGTTATTCCATCTTTCAATGCAATGGTATCATTAAAAGTTCAAAATTCATTGTTTAAATTTTGAACCAGGCTGGTGTGTTGACTTCATGGCTCCTATCGTACCATTTTGGGCCATAATAGGATGCCTAAGCCTGTTTTTTTTCGCCCGCCCGCTCCATTATTTTTCTAGAAAAATCCGTTAACCAAGAAATTAAATTGGTGTGGCCTAAGTATGGATCGTGTAAATCGGTCTACAACTGAAGATAACAATTTCTTTAGAGTCCTTGACATAGATTCAGCGTTCCTAATGGTAAAAGTTACAACATATCCGGCGATATCTTACTTTAAAACCAATCAAAACTGAAACGAAAGAATAGAAATCACTCTTGACAGGACAGCAAGCTCTTGGCGGAAAACTGAAAACAAAGAAAATTGCAAGAAAATGACGCAGTTGTTTGATATGTCTGTAACAGTGCAGTGGGTCATTCGGCGACACATACTGTCACCAGTCGTGTATTTATGTGATCAAAATAAATGTCCTTTATAACCTTAACATGTACCAAAAGTCATACAGGACGCAACAATTAGGATAATTCATATCTGTGATGTTACTAAACACTGTAAAACACTCTCAGTCTCAGACACATTTGTTGTTGTCGTAACCAAGCCCAAAAGATAGCTACAACAATCTCTAAGACAATTCTGAGTCGACGTCACACAATGATCTCCATGTGTTACTAGTATAGAGTCTTCTTCTTGAGTAGTCTCTGAGATAATACTGCACTGTCCATCCTGTCCATGCACAGGGCTCGAAAAACTGGGCGAGTGTACTCAAAATTAGAGCTGTGCACCCATTTTTTTTCTGTGCGTGCACTGATGCACTCAAATATTTTGTAGTTATTTTTGTACATATGAAATGTATGATAGTATACAGGATATTCTTGGAATCTCAGTGTCAGAAAAATGAAATCTTTGTTGTAGTACTTGTTTAAGGTTTTGAAGTTAGCTCCCATTTCAGATTCAAGCTCAGAAGAGGAGCAGTAAGAGCTGTAATTAGGTTTTGTTTTATATGGTGCACACAAAAAAAAATGTGTGCACCTAATCTTTTAGGCTGGGTGCACCAGTGCACTTATTCCTAAAATGAATTTCGAGCCCTGAATGCATGCATTACTCCCGCTCTATGATAGGGGGCAGTGCTGAGATGGGTTCGGCGTCCTTCTCGGGCTGTGCGAACGCGGGAAACCTGTTGGGGAGAGAGTTGACCCAGTCCGCACATTTCTTCATGACGGCTTGTCTTCTCTCCTCCTCTTCGGTATAACCCTGTAGCCACTCCATGCTTTCCTCTGTCAGTCCGGTTGGGTCTAGAACCCTGCTGGCGGTCGCTAGAGGCGTGAGTTTCTTCCGCCCGTCCGCGCGAGCTTCGTCCCGATACGAGTCCGTCTTCCAGAGTTCGTAGATCTCGTTGAGTCTGCAGCCGGCGTCTCGCTGAGTACCGCGCGTGGGTGGCGGGGACTGGTTCTGGATGTTCGCGGTTCTTTCCGTACCACCGTCCTGTTGTTTCACGTCAGGCGGGGAGGGAGGCTTCGGCCGCCGGGGATGATCGCGAGACTGCCCCCTGGTGACGAGACGCTCACGTGAAGGTTCCCGCCTGCTATTCCGGCTGGGCGGCGGGAGAACAGTTCTAGTATCGCCGGCCTGCTTTCTAACATGCGTCGGAGGGAAGGAGAGTCTAGTAGTAACCGCGGCGTCACCTGTAGTGTCCCGGGGCGGCGGGCCCCAGTACGCCGAGTTGGTCCGGCCCGTCAGCCCGACGTTAACAGGCCGGTTGCGGCGTGTTCCTCCTGATATATCCATGATGTGCACGTTTCTGGGAACCAGGACGGCGCCCTGAGATGCCATGTTTCCACCCTCTGAAGGTTCTAGAATGATCGCCGTGTTGCCAGCGGCTTAGCCTTTATAAACCCGTGCTGTGGAGTGTGGTTCTTGGCGTGCGTCACTCTGATCTCCCCCGAGGCTACGGTCCCGCCCACACACACTATCTCACAAGGATCAGGCCGGCTCTGCAGTATAACATTCTGAAAGGACAAGAAAGAAAGGAAAACCTTGTCAATATTGTTCAAAGGGGTTTCCTGGAAATTACACATGACCACCCTGATTTTATTCTATTATGTTCTACCTTGGTTCTACGTTAGGGTTACACTATTCTTTCACTTATTTTGGTAGTATGATTTTATATATCTGCACAACATTCTGAAAGGACAAGAAAGAAAGGAAAACCTTGTCAACATTGTTCAAAGGGGTTTCCTAGAAAGTACACATTTCAACCCTGATTTTACTCTATTAATATGTTCTTCCTTGGTTCTAAAATGCTAAGGTGGTCTCAGTTACGACGAAGGGCGGTTATTCTGGCTATACCGATACAGTAGATTACACTATTGTTTCACTTATTCTGATAGTATAATTTTATGTATCATGTATGTTATTTAAGTTTCTTTGGACTGGTATCAAGTAGTAATTTGAGTAACTTTATTTATCACTTTTGTTGTAATTTGGACTGGGTTGATTTTGATGTACATGACTTTTGTTTGGGGTTTTTCCCCCAGGAAACATTGAAAAGCGCCCCCAGGCGGTATGTGTATCCCCTGGGGAAATAAAACAAACAAACAAACAAACAAACAAATATTTAGTTCTGAAAGACAAGTATGGCTTATTCATGGCAAATACACAAAAAATACACAAAACTACATTAGAATATGACACATTCCGCCACAAACACTAAAAACGAGGATATCGGATGAAATTCAAGATTGTGGTTGACATATTTCAACAGCCAAACGTAAGGTCACAGCAAGTAATTCTTATGGATGACATCAGCGCACGCATTAATTTTCACCTGATTTGGGGGGAATAAACAAGAAATTTTGTTGCCCTCTGACAGTGGTGAACATGCCGAAAATGGGCAAAAATGTCTGTTGCCATGCAGGAACTTGGATGACAAATAAATATGAAGAGAGGAGACAAGAAAAGGCTCTGATTTATTGTTTTGACTTTTACTTTGATGCAGTGATTTATTTTATTCCTTTTATATGATAGAATTTTATTGCACGACAATTGCATAAGGTACAATGTATGGCAAACTAGATCTACATAAAGAAAATAACAAACAATAAAATAAATGTTGGATAAGACCTAATGTCGAATAAAACCTATCATATCTTAATTATTCAAACAGTAAGGGCTAGCACAAGTCTTTGATAGTGTAACAATCGAGTGGGCTAATCACAAGTTTCGGTATTTTTTCTAATAACAAAGCATTCCTTTATACATCTACCTATTTTTGCGTTGTGGAAACTGATACTTTGTATTGTAATATATTCGGGACCAAGCGTTGTGATCAAAAGCATGAGAAAAGTAAAGTATGGAAAAGGTCAATAAGGGAACCTTTAACCCCCATCAGACCCCAGCCTGACCCTGATTGGACACATTCTAAGATATTGTGGACAATAGACCAATCAGTGACGACCGTTCCTTAGGGAGAGGCTCTGACGTCACATCATGGTTTGGCAGGTACAGTGGGGATATCAAATATCGGACTACAATAGATTTGTTTACTTATACATGTATTACATCATTTTGATAACATATCTTGAGGGTTTTGCTGTGAAACACAATTGTGTGGTCATTTTTTCCTAAGGCTGGCGTTCATCATATACAGACATCATACAGAATTCTTTTTTTTTTTAATTTCTAGTTCAGAACTCCACTTGGGCATATATTTTCAATTTATTCCAACATCACAAGACGTGGTGACGGCACACTCATGTTTTTTTTTAACTTATTCATGCCACCACCAACACAGGATACAATACAGTACTCATTTTCACCTCAGCGAAGTGAGGAAAGTCGTGTTAAGTGCCTTCCCCAAGGGCACAAGGTCGGTAGCATGGCAGGGTTCGAACCCGGGACCTCTTGGTCTGAGTCAAACTCTCTACTGTTACACTACACAAATTATGCGTTTAAAAATGGTATTTTGTCACTTACATACATTTGAATTTTTGCCCCTAACAGTCTGGTAACATGCAACTGTTAACCGGTATATTTTGCTGTCTATATGCTAACATTGAGACCTTTGCCACCAGAGGGCTCAAACAATACTAATGAGTGCTTAAATAGGCGAGGTCTTGAGCCATTAAGTTGTAGTCTATTGACCACTAATGGCTCCCCAGGGGCTATTTTTGGACGCTGTGACCACATACCTCTTTGTATCGTGTCCAAACATCATACTCGACTTCCGTTTAAACACCACTGTAGCCCTTTCAACTGTGGCCCACTAATTGCCACACTCTTTAAAATGAGTGTATGATAAATTGCCGGAGTGTAAGAGAACTAACATGGCCTGAATGTGTCAGCTAGTGGCTGTGTGCATATGGTGGTGGACAGTTGGAATTGTACAACACTAACGTATCCGACTCTTTTCAACTACACGCAACCGTAACGAGGGTTCACGTCGCTCAAAAGACCAGGAAAGCTATCTGTCGTGTAGTCATACTTGTCACTTTAGTCTTAATTGGCAAACGTTGTTTGTGGTACCCTTAAGCGAACCATTTTGGGTATCTTTTCAACATAACACTTTCTAGTAAATAATCAAGGTTTGCCAATAATGACTTTACATTTAAATAGTGATATAGTTTCAAAGTTTGCATCTAGACATAAACAAATACAGCCAACAGAGAAGCCAGACACTCAAAAGAGACTTCTCCATAGGCTGTTTTTATGATCGGTGGACCGGAAAATAATAGTAACATCTCAAAATACATGCGAAACAAAAGTCGCCATACCAGAGAGTGTACTAGATTTCGGGGACGGGCACAAAAGATGAGGCCGAGGGACATCACACGTTTGGCTGATCGACTGGGAGTGACCTGTCTTTTCTGAAATTGCTTCGATATAGCAAATTGTGTTAGGTCGATGTGATAATGCCATGTTGATTTGATTATATGGATAACATCCGCGCGCTCATGAATTTTCGGCCGTTTCCAAAAAAGAAAAGTTTTCAACCATACTGTAAATCGTACAAAACAGTTGAATAAGAAAATATATAATGTAAATTGCTACAAAAATTCCACCGGACTATTTTGCAGTAAATAGTAGAAAGAGTACAGGCAAACTGGACCCTCTATGGCCGGCCAACTCCCCTGGCCAGCTACATTCTTTTCAGGCCGATTTCTACTATTCATTCAGCCTGCAAAAAGGGTCTGGTGGATGAGCTATAGCTCCAGATAGGTATTTATTTATAAAGAAACGCTAACTGTTCAAATAGTCGTGTACGAAAGGGATTTAGAAGGAATTTAGGAATTTTAGTACCTTCCAGCAAGGTTTTAGTGATACTGTTTTACTGAAAATGTGTAGTTAAAGTTCCGGCCTAAATGTCAATATATTTACTTAGAAGCTCACAAATTGTACCGCGCATGGGACTTGTGGATAGGTCTGGGTGGTGTAGATTTAAAGGCAGTTTTTAGGGCTTGGAAACCCGATTTCAAAGCCAATATTCAAGTTATTTTCTACATACTAAGTTGAAACCAAACTGTCACAGTGTATATTGACCTTCTTGGAGCAAATGTTCCCAAAATACTGACGGAAAATGGTTACTGGAAGGGCCCTGGGCTGCATGATGTTTTAGGGTACCACCTATAAAATAAATGACTCAACTTGGGACTTATTTCTGCAGTTTGAAAAGCCCAAAGTATGAATTGCTGACTCAAATGTGCCAATATGAAGCATTATGTGTCAGTATCACAAAGATTGCCTTATTCAGAATATTTCAAGTTTTGCTGCCCTGAAATCGCATTGGATCCTTTAAAGGGTAAAAGAGTGTGGCTCTCTAGAGCCATGATTTTGTAGTTTCCACATTTGTAGTTGCTCGAGAATAAACCAGAAAATCAGTTAATATTTACACTTCCTTTTGTTTTAGGGAAAGGAAAGGAAGGAAAGGTCTCCCATGCCCTTATGCAGAGCGTAGGGTGGTGCCCATATCCATTTCTGTAGCCCTTGGGCGACACACAGTTGTGCAATGCACTACAGCAGGGGGCTGGTCCGCTGGTAGTGCTGTGTGTTTGACCTTCCCACACCCTTTCTCATAGATGCTGAGTGCTAAGCAGAGAAAGAAGTGTGTACCATTTTTAAAGTCTTTGGTATGACCCGGCCGGGGTTTGAACTCACGACCTCCCGGTTACAAAGCGCACTCTACCAATTGAGCTATTGCACCGGTATTTTGTTATAGGGGCTGTGATATATTTTGCGCGTGTAAACACACGTGATTTTGATTATGTTGACTTCATTACAATTGTCAGAAATTGACGTGGGAAGGTGGCCAAAAATCATTTAGTTCTGATAGAGTATTTCAAATTTAAAGTATGTCGGCTTTAGACTAATCGATTATTACAATAAAAATCTGTGATTACCGTAAACAGACCAGCTTTTAACTTGTACAGCTTGTTTTTATTATTAACATAAGTTGCTTATGTGACGCCTTCTATTAAAAACATAAAACGAGGGTAAAACACAAAATACAAAATGACAAAATACGAGTATAGTCACAAAGTGGGTAAAAGAAAAATGAGTATAAAAAAGTTGGTGATCTATCAATTACGAGAATCTACCTGTACAGTAAATTAAGTTTTGAACTCCATCAAAGACGTTACAGTTTTGTGAATGTGAAAGTGACGTGGAACCTTGAAGCAGTAAGGAACATAAAGAACTGTCATTGAGATGCTGTAGCTCTACTATGTTGGAAAGAGATGATAACAGAGTACTTCTTTAACTAGTGTAAGGCTATACCGGCTTCTTGAACCTCTAGTCTACTATAAAAGCGAACCATCGACCAGTCTTCTACATTCAAGCGACAGAAATGTTACCAAAATCGTGTAAAACATCGACAAAGACTCGGATCCTTACATGTACATCTTCTTAAAACATTGAAAAGACATCTAGCCCTTTGTTGCAAGTGTTATGTGTTCTCTGCAATCTCCAATTCCTGTCATGACATTTACCATTTCCTTATA